TTGCTTCTTACCAGCACTGTCTTAGCTAAGCATCAGCACCTGCAAACTCCACAGAGGTAAAAAAGTTCACTCAGGGGCTTGCAACTAGTAACCCAGAGCCTTCTGATATCAGAGCCCAGGATCACAGTATTCCAGACTTCAGGGGTTTTAGTGCTTTCTGCCACCCAAGGACCTGAGAACAAAGGCTATCCAGCAAGAAATTTTCATAACTTCGTTCTATTTCCCTGAGAACTAGGCCTGGCATGGTTGATCTCGGTCTCTAGAAACTGGAGTCGGATATTCAAGATATCAAAAGGAAATCGCTAGTGGGGCGTCATGGCTCCCAGGACTTTGGAGGTTAAGGTGGGAGGATCGCCTGAGCCCAGGAGTTTGAGACCAGCATGGGCAACACAGTGAGACCTCGTCTCTATTGAAGAAAAAAAAAAAGAGGGATATGGCTGCCCTTTCTAGATCAGGAGGTCCAGCCTCAGAAAACCTAAGAGGGCTGCTTGATCTTTCTTTTCTAATTCCTGGCAAGTTAGAAGACCTTTGGCATCTGAGAGCCCTTTTGCTTTGAGCTTAAGCTCTTGTTTGGGAAGCCACTGGGAGGACAGTGAAGAGTGCCCGCCTACCTGGGGAAACCTGAGTTAGGTGTGGCTGGAGAGACTCGAGATGCGAGGTGGGCGGGGGCAGGCTGAAAGTTGGAGCAAGCAGGAAGTGAGCCGAGGGCCACCCTAGGAGGAAGCCGACTAGGCGAATTCACCTGCTGACCGGCCTGAGCTGCTCTGAGACATGGTGAGCGAACCGGGAACGAGGAAAGGGCTGATTTAAAGAGGGGCCAGAGGGGGTTCGGGACCGGGTGTTAGCTGTGAGGGGGGAGGAGAGTTGGTGGCAAAGTTAGAGGGCTGGGCCAGTGCTGCCTGTGGCCTCTCCTTTTTGACAACTTGGCTGCAAATAGCTCTGAGCCGCCCTGGGAGGTGTTCCTACTCCTTCTCCCTCCCTCCCCTGACCTCTGTGCTGGTCACGAGCTGGGCTTCGGTGCCGGTGCCGACGGGGGGCTCCGAATTCCAGGCAAATAGTTGTTATGCCTTCCTCCTCCAGGGAGCCCCGAGGCGGGTGTTGTGACGCTACCAGGCAGCGCCCCAGCAGTTCCCAGTTCAGATTCCAGCCCAGGGGCAGGAGCTTTCTCGGCCTTTCACTTTATTCCGACACAGAAACACAAAGGATTTGTGTGTCCACGGAGTCCTTCGGGTGTCCTTTCTCCATTAACATGAAGAAGAGAACTAAGCGTTTATAAAAGAACCAGAAGTTGGTTCTCTGTGATAATCCAGTTCTGACCCATGCCACTGGCTTGTTTTTGGAGGTCAAGGAGGGAGGAGCTTAATAGTATTTTTCTCTCCTTGTTCAAAAACTTGGTCGTGAAGCTTCCCAGATGATCTCCATTTCCCCCAATGCCAAGACGGGTGTTTTTATTTAGTATCTGCATAAGCAGGCAGTTCCTTGGTGCCTGCACGTGGTGCCCGGTGGTGGGAAAAGCAGAAGTGTGCGGCTCAACGGTTCCCGGCACCTTCTGGGGGACTTGGTTGACTGTTGCTCTGGGTCACAGCAATGGCATTGTAGCCAGAGCAGGGCTCCAGCAGCTGTCTTGGAGGGGCAGATGGGTTGAGCTAGGTGAGGATATTCTGCTGGCCAGCACACTTTTTTTTTTTTTGGATGGAAAAACTCGATCATTTCCTCCACCTTCTTGGTTCAAGCGATTCTCCTGTCTCAGCCTCCGAGTAGCTGGGGTTACAGATACCTGCTACTATACCCAGCTATTATTTCTTTTTTTCTTTTCTTTTTTTTTTTTTTTTTGAGACGGAGTTTCGCTCTTGTTACCCAGGCTGGAGTGCAATGGCGCGATCTCGGCTCACCGCAACCTCCGCCTCCCGGATTCAGGCAATTCTCCTGCCTCAGCCTCCTGAGTCGCTGGGATTACAGGCACACGCCACCATGCCCAGCTAATTTTTTGTATTTTTAGTAGAGACGGGGTTTCACCATGTTGACCAGGATGGTCTCGATCTCTTGACCTCGTGATCCACCCGCCTCGGCCTCCCAAAGTGCTGGGATTACAGGCTTGAGCCACCGCGCCCGGCCTTATTTCTTGTATTTTTAGTAGAGATGGGGTTTCACCATGTTGGCCAGGCTGGTCTCGAACTCCTGACCTCGTGACCCACGCGCCTTGTCCTCCCAAAGTGCTGGGATTACAGGCTGAGCCACCGCACCTGGCCTAGCACAGACACATTCAATGAGGATCCAGAGAAGTCAGGAAAGTGAGGTGGCTCTAGGCATTGTAAATAGTGGTGGGCTCTGCCCTGGCGGGGAACATTGTGAGATGCAATGCAGCTCTGCTGTATTCTATGGCCCTCTTTAGGGAGCAAGGAAGCAGTGGGGAGGGATTTAGTGATGTGCTGCTTTTCCTTGTCAGGGGCTCAAAAAGAAGTTTGATCCAGTCTGTTTAGCATCACAGCTCACCTTCTGAGGCTTACAAATGCATTTATTTTTTATTACACAATACATGAAAACATTCTCTTTGTAAACATTTCAAGCATTTTACAAAAAGCTGAAGTCCGCCTGAGGCCTTACACTCCCCAGACCTCTGAGGCCAAGTCTCCAGTTCCCCCAGCACTTGGTCTAATTAACCCCATGTTGCTGTGCAGGAGGAAGCCAGTGAAGGTGGAGGAAATGATCGCGTAAGGAACCTGCAGAGTGAGGTGGAGGGAGTTAAGAATATTATGACCCAGAATGTGGAGCGGATCCTGGCCCGAGGGGAAAACTTGGAGCATCTCCGCAACAAGACAGAGGATCTGGAAGCCACAGTGAGACGGGGAACCCACTGGGGGCTGGAGGAAAAGAGGGAGAAAGGGAATTTCTTTTTGGTGGGGCAAAATGAACAGGAGGGCCAGAAGTTAGCCACTTCTGTTGCTTTTCACCAGGTTTGGGAGCTGATGTGAGCAGAGTCTCTACTGAATCTGCTCTGATCCAGGATTGTTAGGGATCCCAGGGAATGGATCCCATGACTAGGGCTTGAGGTGGCAGCTCGCCCATAGAGGCATGTTCTGAGACCAATAGCTCAGGCAGCCCCTGCATTCTCAGGCTTCTCTCCTGGGAAACTGGTTTTCCCTTTGAAGCCTGCCCATGGCAATCCTTTGCATCTGACCTTCCCCGGGCAGCAATATTGGCTCTGAGGAAACTCCCCTATGGCCTCTAGCCTTCTCTAGGAGCTATTAGGCAAAGGGTGAGAAATTGCTGGTGTCTTGGTGAGTTGGCTTTAAAAACAAGCTGGAAAGAGCAGTAAAATGCTTTGATCCCAGGGTCCCCTGCTAGATGAAGGCTAGAATAATATCTCCCACACATCTTGCTAGACCTCATTCTTCTCTCTCTCCAGCCAGGGGCTGAGGCCAGCTGTTTCAGGCAGGAAGTAACTCCAAAGTTGAGCAAAGACTGGAGCCTCAGGTTCTGTGTTCAGGGAGAGGCCAGCTCTGGCTTTCTGAGTTCTGTGTGAACTCTTGGCTCTTGAGTATTGCTCCCTTGTCTCCCTGGGACTCATTGCCTGTTTCTGTAGCCTAAATGTAGCTTAATTTGGGGAGCACAGCCCTGGGCACATTTTTTTTTGAGACCGAGTCTTACTCTGTTGCCCAGGATAGAAGTGAGTTCAGAGGCGCGATCTTGGGTCACTGCAACCTTCACCTCCTAGGTTCAAACGATTCTCATGCCTCAGCCTCCTGAGTAGCTGGGATTACAGGTGTGCACCACCACACCTGGCTAATTTTTTGTATTTTTGGTAGAGATGGGGTTTTGCCATGTTGGCCAGGCTGGTCTCAAACTCCTGACCTCAGATGATCTGCCTGCCTTGGCCTCCCAAAGTGCTGGGATTACAGACTTGAGCTACTATGCCTGGCCAAGCTCCAGGAAATTCAGTGTCTCTAACTCGAATTGCTGGGGATGGGAGAGTGGGTGGAGGAGGAGGAGTTCCCTTACTTCCAACCCTCTGTACTGTCCTGGTCCCTCCTTCAGCCTCAGCAAGGAGTCTTGGAGCTGGGAGAGGTGCCCACCTGGAGCCTGCAATCCTCAGTCGCAGGGTCTGCCTTCCCAAGGGCAGACTGTGCTGCCAGTGTTGTACCTTTGGGTGTGAGCAGGTTTCAAGGACCCCTCAGTGTGCATGGCAGTGCAGGGGTAAGAAGAGAAAGGGAAGCCCTAGTCATATCTAGGTAGAGACCTCCCAGGATTTTAAGAATTCTAAATTTCAACCTGGCCTTCCAGATTTTTAGGAGGTTATATTTGTCAAGGTAGGTAGATAGAGCATCTTTTATTTAGTAGTTTGTTACCTCAGCTTACAGTGTCAGTATTAAGATGTATGGCTTGAGCAGGGTATGCTGGCATGTGCCTGTAGTCCCAGCACTCAGGAGGCTGAGGAGACAGGATTGCTTGAGCCCTAGAGATGGAGGCTGCAGTGAGCTGAGATTGCACTATTGCACTCCAGCCTGGGTGACGGAGTCAGACCCTGTCTCAAAAAACAAACACAGAGCCAGGCATGGTGACTCATGCTTGTAATTCCAGCACTTTGGGAGGCCAAGGCAGGCGGATTGCCCGAGGTCAGGAGTTCAAGACCAGCCTGGTCAACTTGGTGAAACCCCATCTCTACTAAAAATATAAAACTTAGTTGGGTGTGGTGGTGCACCCCTGTAATTCCAGCTACTTGGGAGGCTAAGGCAGGAGAATTGCTTAAACCTGGAAGGCATAGGTTGTAGTGAGCTGAGATTGCACCACTGCAATCCAGCCTGGGAGGCAGAGTGAAACTCTGTCTCAAATAAACAAACAGACAGATGTCTAGCCTTGTAGGCCCGGTGTGGTGGCTCATGCCTGTAATTCCAGCACTTTGGGAGGCCCAGCTGGACAGATTACTTGAGGTCAGGAGTTCGACACCAGCCTAGCCAACATGGTGAAACCTCATCCGTATTAAAAATACAAAAGTTTGCTGGGTGTGGTGGTAGGTGCCTGCAATCCCAGCTATTCAGGAGGCTGAGGCAGGAGAATCACTTGAGCCCAGGTGGTGGAGGCTGCAATGAGCCAAGATCTCGCCACTGTACTCCAGCCTGGGCAACAGAGTAAGATTCCATCTCAAAAAAAGAAAATAAATAAAAGATGTATGGCCTGTGGGCTGCGTTTGTATTCTTGTACCCTTGTTCCAGTGGGAGGAGCCACTGGGTCACTCACTCTGCCTTATCCTCAACAGTCTGAGCACTTCAAGACGACATCGCAGAAGGTGGCTCGGAAGTTCTGGTGGAAGAACGTGAAGATGATTGTCCTTATCTGCGTGATTGTTTTCATCATCATCCTCTTCATTGTGCTGTTTGCCACTGGTGCTTTCTCCTAAGTAACAGGGAACCTCTCCCACCTGCCCTTCTCTTCCGGGACAACCCTCCATAAATGAGTGCCAAGGGGGGTCTCCTTTCCTGCCCTCCTCTACAGAGAATGCTGCTCAGTTCTCCTGCCCCTCTTCCCAAGGTCCTGCTGCCATGTTGTATGCCCCAGAGGGCACCTTGGTCCCCTGGAAGGAGAGGGAAAAAGAGAGCTGGACTGTGGCTGCATTTCACAGGTCCTTAGAGTGGGTTGGAGAGACCTAGAGGGCCCAGCATGTGGCTGGGAAACTATTGGTGGCCAGTGGGCAATAAAGACCTTTCAGTGTCCCTATGTGTGTGAGGAGGCACTTTCTCCCTTCCCATTTTGCCTTTGGCTTTTCTGTTTCTTTTCTTCCCGAGGATACCTTCTGGGTGAGGTTCTCCCATTTGAGGTCCAGGTTGTTGGAGGGGCAAAGAGTATATGTTTGGAGAAGAAAGATGGAGGCCCCTGTCTTTCATTATTCCTCCCTGTTCCATTTATTGTCACAGGTCTCAAGAACAAGAATTTTCTGGGAGTCTTGGCATAAAGAAAATTCAAAACCTTTATAGCATTTTGGGGTGGTATGTGAGATTTTTAAGTGTCCGCGTTGGGTCCTGCCATGACCCTTTAGAACTGTTCTTCTGGAGTTGTTAGCTAAGGCATGAAGCCTACCTGGACAGAGCATTTATGAGCTGGTTGAGGGTCTCCTGCCTCTTCTATCACAGCCATCTCTCTTCAGCAACCCTGTAGTCTAGAGTCAAGGGCTGGAGGAACTGGACTGCTGTTCCTTTCCTTGTGCTTCTGCGTGTTCTAGCTGTCTTTTCTCTGTCCCTGTCTTCTGGGACTTAGCAAAGCCTCTGGGTCTCAGCTGTTCTGAGGGGGCGAGCATCTCTCCTCAGCATCCCATGGTTGGGCACAGTCAGTTAGTCAGTGTCACCGGACAGGGCCAATGGCCCTCTTTCCCGTCCGTGCACAATGAGCCTCTCTGTCTCAGACCCCCCTCCTCCCTACCAGGTTCCACCATCACTGTCACTCTTTCCAGTGCCTAGTCTGCCTTGGTTTGCAGGGAGGGTTCCTGCCATATCTGTTCCTGTTTCCTCCACAGGCTTTCCAGAATTGGAAACAACCTGTTGTTGGGAGGAATGGGAAGGGCTGGGAGTCAGGATTTGGGACTAGATTAGCAAGTCAGGCTCTGCAAGAATCATGCTCTGAAATTTGGGGAGGGAGGGGGAAAGGTCAGAAAAGACCCTTGTGGTATTTTTATTTTTATTTTTTTGGAGATAGGATCCCACTCTGTTGCCCAGGCTAGAGCGCAGTGGTGTGATTATGGGTCACTGGGCTTAGTGACCCATAAAATTTAAAATTAAAATTTAAAAAATTTAAAAATTTAAAAATTTTAAATTTTAAAAATTTTTGTAGAGACATGGTCTCCCTATGTTGCCCAGGCTGGTCTCAAACTCCTAGGCTCAAGCAATCCTACCACCTTGGCCTTCCAAAATGTGGCCATTATAAGTGTGGGATAGTCCCGCCTTGGGATAGTCTCTGCTACAACTATATTAATCCTCTCTCTCCTGGATTCAAGATGCAAGGAACTGAAGTGAAGCTTCTGCCTTGGGACCCAGACTGTCCAGGGTAGGAGTGAGGGTCTGTGAAACCCTCTTGGTCTGGGACTTCTGTATTCACAGAGGCTCAGCCCTAGAGAGGGAAATTTTCAACTCTGTTGGTCAAGAGAGGCCTCATTTGAGGGACCGGGCCCAGTGGCTCACACCTGTAATCCCAACACTTTGGAAGGCTGAGGCAGAAGAATTGCTTGAGGTCAGGAGTTCAAGACCAGCCTGGTCAACATAGTGAGACCCTGTCTCTCTCTCTCTAAAAAAGAGGGGCCTTATTTTGAAATGTCAGTGGCAGCTTGGAGTAATGGAGAACAGGTAGCTGGGGCTTTCTCTGCAGCAGTGAGAGGAGAGGATAGGTAGATTCCACTCAGGAAGGCTCTGGAGTGGTAGCAGACACACCAGCCTCACCCAGCCTCTGACCGAGGAGCAGGCGCACGGCAGGTGCATGCCGGCGCAAAACTGCACTTGCCCTCATGGTGAGGAGAGACATACAGAAAGGCTAGAGCTAGTACTTCGCCCGTGTGGAGCTGCTTTCTTTTTGAATAGAGGTGAAAGTCACATAACGTACAGTTTATTATTTTAAATTACAATTCAGTGACATGTAGTGTGTTCAGAATGCTATGCAACCACCACTTGTCTTTAGTTTCAAAACTTTTAGGGGGGCCTGTTTTTGGGGTGAGAGGCAGTCACCAAGGTAGTGAAGACCCTGCCTGGCTTGTTTATGGCGTCTCCAGGACCTAGCGTGGTGCCTGACCGTGGCACTGGTAGGGTGCTTGTTGAGTGAATGAATGATGCCTCTTCAGCTAAACCCGACTTAGAAGACTCCAGGGCCCACTTAGAAGTCCACTGTGTCCATTTCACAGATCGGGCCCTGAGGTGTGCCAGTTCACCAGACTGAGGTGTCATCCGAGGTCAGGCGCCCGCTGCTGGGGAGGAGGCGCCTCTACGGACCCGGGTCACTGCGGCCCATCGCTTTCGGTTTGACTTGGCTTCGGGCGCTGCTAGCGGAAGGCGCGCCCCCCGCCCTCACCCGGCGGCCCTCCCCGCCCCGCCCCTGAGCTTCCTCCTGGGCCGCTGGCGCTGAGGTCGCTCAGCAAGCAGAGGAGCCGGGAGCTGGCGAGGTGGCGGCAGCAGCGGAGATGGTGAGGGCCAGGGTGGGGCCGGCCAGCCCCGCCACGGGCTGAGGGCTAGTGGCGGGGGTAGGAGAGACGAGTCTGAAGTTCGCGAGCGGGGGGGTGGGGGGGTGGGGGGCATCCCCTGGGGCCCGGGCGGGTCAGACCGGAGGCGTTGACCGTGGCTGGAGCAGGACTGGGCGGACCCTCCACACCCCGCGCACCACCTGGGAGGGAGGTGCGTGCGCCCTGTCCTGGCTGCGCTGCGCCGCTTGGCGCGGAACGAGTGGGGCTCTGGCTACCCATTCTCCTGAAGCAAAGTGGTTAAGAGCACCGGCTTTGGAGTCAGACTCCGGGCTGGGATCCCAGCCCTGCGACCCGGGGCGAGTCACTTAACCTCCCTGAGCCTCCTTTTCCGCATCTGTGAAGTGGGATCACTAAGACCTGCCTTGTTGGGTCCTTGAGAGGTTAAAGGAGACACAATGGCAGAGAGCCGCCTGGCACTCAGAACCCACTGCCGCAAAGTGGTAGGGAATGAGATGACCTCGTCAGCCCTTTCCGCAGCTGTGAGGAGCCAAGCCTGGCCCAGGAGTTGGAAACCTGAGCAGATGGGGTGGCAGGGCCATTCCAGCCCCATGGCAGGGTGTTGGAGGGCAAACTCCTCCCCTAGGGAAAGAGAAACGGAGATGTTTACTCTGAAAGTTCCACTGAAGTTTGATCAGAGTGTGGCACAGGCCTGACGCCCTGCTAACCTCTACCTAGTGACACATTCCTGAGTTGAGTCACCCCCACTCCTGCTGCAGACTCTGGCCTCTGTCCTCACTTGCCATCTTCAAGGCAAAGATGTCAGGAACAGCTGGTGCCAGTTTCCCCCTTTCCCTGGAGCTCCTGGGAAGATGGACTGGGAAATAGGCTTGGTGCTTTAAGATTCTGCCTTGGAGAAACTGACAGAGGTGTGATGGATGTGGCCTGGCTAGGGTCATTGCCTGGATGGCCTCATCTCCAGGGAACTTGGAGACAGGAAGAGGAAGTGGGGCAGGAAGGTAGCACTGAGCTCTGAGGTCAGGCCAGGAAACTAGGAAGGCTCTGAGAATAGGGCAGAGCCTAGAGCCCACTTCAGAGTGTGCAGGGCAAGGGATCAGGGGTAGAGGTTGGCTTCAATGGGCACTTAGCTATTGGGGAGAAGCTCCTGAAGTAGAGGCTGAAGGCAAGATCATTTATCCGCGGTGGATGGTACTGGCAAACCCTGGAATTCTCACAGGTACATTTGAGGCAATCGTGGAGGAGAGCCTGGTGAGGTCGCTCCTCCACCCATCCGTCTCCTAGCCTCGTCCTTCTGTTATTTCTTTCACCCTTGCCCCTTTCTCTGTCCCTAGCTCTTTCCCTTTCTTCCACCCATCCCCTTTCCCTCCCTGGTCCTTCTTCCTTTCAATTCTCTTTTCTTCTCCATGACTCATTCAACCAACAAGGACTTCTTGGGCATGTCCTTTGTGCCAGTCGTGGTGACAAGTATAGGGGACAGAGCAGGAACAAAGCAGTGATGGGAAAAATGGAAATGGAATGAGTAATTACTTGAATTCATTCATCTTGTAGATGATCCTCTCTCCAAAGAATGTGTGTGTTGAGCCAAAGCCTCCTTCATATGCACACAGATTAAGTTGGTGGCATCAGAAGGTTTGGTGCATCTTTAGCCAGCCAGCTAAAGTGTCTGATTTCCCTGTACCTGCATCTAATTTAGCACACGGATTAGAAATGTGATGCTTGGAGTCTGTGTTGGTTCAACTCCCAGATCTACTCACTGGCTCTGTGATCTTGGACAGGTGATTTAACACCTCTGAGCCAAAGTTTCTTATAAAACAGGGATAATATGGTCTTCAATGGGTTGTTGGGTGAGGATTAAATGAGACAGAACAAACAGCAAGCAGCATAGTGCTTAGCTCAGAGTATGTCCCCATTGAATGCTGGCTGTTCTTCTTGCTCAAGATGTAAAACCTCAACAGCCTGCAGTGCCAGATGAAAATAAACTACGGCCGGGCGCGGTGGCTCAAGCCTGTAATCCCAGCACTTTGGGAGGCCGATGTGGGTGGATCACGAGGTCAGGAGATCGAGACCATCCTGGTCAACATGGTGAAACCCCATCTCTACTAAAAATACAAAAAAATAGCTGGGCATGGTGGTGCGTGCCTGTAATCCCAGCGACTCAGGAGGCTGAGGCAGGAGAATTGCCTGAACCCAGGAGGTGGAGGTTGCGGTGAGTCGAGATCGCGCCATTGCACTCCAGTCTGGGTAACATGAGTGAAACTCCGTCTCAAAAAAATATAAAAAAATAAACTAGATGCTAGTTACCAAAGGCCCATGTAAAGTTCTGAGCTGCAGGTTAGAAACAATTATGTGTAAAAGTTTGCCACAGGGAAGAACTTGCTTGGCTGTGCATTTTGTAAAACTAGAAGGTTTTATTGACCACATGCATTATGCAATTCTGTTTTTTTTTTTTTTTTTTTTTGAGATGGAGTCTCTGTTGATTAGGCTGGGGTACAGTGGCATGGTCTCAGCTCACTGCAGGCTCCACCTCCTGGGTTCAAGTAAT